GCAGAACCACTGAGCTAAATCCCTGGCCCAAAATTTAATTTTTTAAATGCCTATAGCAGGGCTGGGGATTTAGCTCAGTGGTGCCGCTGCCTGCCTGACAAACACAAGGTCCTGAGTTAATCTCCAGTACCAAAAACAAAAATACAAAACAAAAAAACCCTATAGCAAACAAGGACATCAATAGAATGGAGAGTATATTTCAATAGAATTTTGAGGAAAAATTTGCTTTTACTTTTGCTCAGTAACAGGGTAATGTATACATAAATACCCTGAGCTGGTGACTCTCAAAATTCATATACTGCATGTACACTCCAATGTGACTATGAAGATAGGACCTCATTGTGTGGCTGAGGTCAAGGATGGAGACCTACTGTGGCTAGATGTCCCCTCAAAGCCTCATGCAGTCACAGGGCTTGTTCAGGGGCGGCTGAATCTAGGGTGTGTGACTGCTACATAAGTCCACCTCTTGGTTTGGCACTGCCCTAATCCCAGCAGTCTGAATAAGGTAAAATGGGCAGAAAGATGCCGTTTTAAGGTCCCTTGTTGCTTTGCTACCTTTGGTCTGCCATGAACTGTTGCCCCTCTGTCATATGCCACACTGCCTTGAAGCCAGCGGATTATGGACTCATGCCACTACAAATTGTTAGCTAACTAAACCTTTCTCCTTTTACCTTTGGGGGTTGGGTATTTTGTCTGAGCAAAGAGAAAAGTAACTAAGAAATCCACCTGGGTGTGGTGGTGCACATCTATAATCCTAGTCCTTGGAGAGACGGGTAAATTTGAGCTCAGCTTGGGCAACGAAGCAACATAATGAAACCTTGCCTCAAACAATAGGGCTGGGGCTGGAGCTGAGCATTAAGGCCCTGGACAGAGACCTACCTCCTTCTCAGCCTCTGTTATGTGAGGACACAATGAAGAGGCAACCAACTGCACGGCAGGAAATATGCCCTCACCAGAAGTCAACCTTGTTGTTACTCCTAATCTTCTAGACTTCCAGAGATAGGAGAAAATAAATTTCTGTATATTTCAAATTTATTCAACAAATAAATTTTATTCAAACAAATTTTAAGCCATCGTGACCTACGTAATGTTATTTCGTTATGGTAGACTAAGTGATTCATGACAAATTTTGATAGAGGTGACGTTGCAATAAAAAAAAATGCAAGAACAAAACTGAGTAATGAGTAGGGACTAGAAATGCTTTTATTTACCTATCTTTTTTTGTTTTGTTTTTTTTTGAGACAGGGTCTCATACAGTTCAGGTGGAGCTTAACCTGCAGCAATCCACCTGCCTCAGCCTCCTGAGTGCTGATTACAGTTATGTACCACCATGCCTGGCCTACAAATGTTTGCAAGTCCATGCTAGAAAGAAGGTCCCTGCTGGGGATTTAGCTCAGTGGTTCTGCCACTTGCCTCATAAGCACAAGGACCCGAGTTCAATCCCCAGTACCAAAACGAAAGAATGAAGGAAAGCAAGGAGGGAGGGAGGGAGGGACCAGGTATGTAGCTAAGTGGCGTCATACCTGCCTGGCAAGTGCAAGGTACTGAGTTCAATACCCAGTACTGGGGAAAAGAAAAGAAAAGAAAAGGAAAGGGAGAAGAGCTATATGGTATCAAATGACTGTAATCCCAGGCATGCAGGAGGCTGAGGCACAAGAATCCCAAGTGAAAGGCCAACCTGGGCAATCTAGCAAGATCCTGTTCCAAAGTAAAACAAAAGCTGGACATTGTGGTTCATGCCTAGAATCACAGCTTCTGGGAGGCACAGGCTGAAGATCAAGCCCAGCAACAGAATTAGTGAGACCTCATCTCAGAACAAAAACTAAAAAAGGTGGCTGGGGATTTCACTCAGAGGTGCTGCTGCTGCCTGCCTCACAAGTGCAAGGTCCCAAGTTCGATCCCCAGTACAAAAAAAAAAAAAACTAAAAAGGTTGGTGATGCAGCTTAGTGAGGAGGCCCTGGGCTCCGTCCCCAGTACTGAAAACATAAAATAAGGGCTGGGGCTGGGGCTGAGTGTTAGAGCTTGCCTAGTGTGGGTTCAATCCTAAGCAGGAAAGGAAAATAGGGACGAAAGGAAGAAAAGAGGAAAGGATGAGGATGGTGGTGCACGCCTCTGATCCTAGCACTCAGGAGGCTGAGGCAGGAGGGTCAGCACAAGTTCAAGTTCAGCCTAGACTACACAGTGAGACCCTGTCTCAAAACAAAAACAAACAAACAAAAACTCACACAGGAGGCCAGGGATTGAGCTCAGAGGCATCGCACCTGCCTCGCAAGTGCAAGGTCCCGAGTTCGATCCCTGGTTCCAAAAAAAAGAAAAACACAACACACACACACACACACACACACACACACACACAACCTACAAAGGCAATCCTTGATGTGCAATGGTGAAGACCTTGGCAAAATACATTTGTAGTCTTGCAATTTGTAACAGGTAGAGCTGGGGAGTGAGAAAACTGGAAAATTACCTGAGATTATAATTCATCTGTTGAAGAAGCAGCTTCAGTTCCTGGCATTTACTAAAAGACAATTTTTAGTAAATGCAAAAGGGAGAACTAAATCCAACAAGGACCTCCACCAAAAAGACAACAGAACTTGGAAATTTGGAAAATTCTCAGACCACCCATAGTGCAAAAACTGAGAAAGCTTGAATAGAAGAATATTAAGAGTGTGACTGAAAACCCCTTTGATAAAGAGATCACGGATGGGACCCAAGGGAGGGATATCAGCAATCTCAACAGGAGAGGAATAGACTGGATTATGCAAGCAGAGGTATTGCCATTTAGATCTCAAACAGACCTAGAAGGCAAGACAGAGTAGACTTAAGATTTTATAAGGAAACAGAGTAACTGGCTACAAAGGTAGACCCATTAAGAATAAGTACAGAGGGCTTCTTGGCATGCTGAGCATGATCAATGGGGTAAGAGGATGCACCCGGAAGAGTGTCTGTCGACAGACCACATGGGTCCTATGCTTAGCTTGTCAGTTCAGCTCCCATTAAATATTCACATGAATAGCTATACTGACAGCCACTAACCAACAAGAGCTAGGACCAGAGCTATTACCTTATGCAGCCATGTCCAACCAGTGGTCCACAAGCTTGTTGTGTTATCTCATTTTAATGTCGCAGTGACATTTAAAAATAAAGAAACCTTTTATATATATTAACTATATTATATGTGACCCAAAACAATACCTCTTCAGTTGTACCTTAGATAATCCAAAAAGTCAGACTTCCATGCATAGTGTTTAAGGATACTACCATCACTTGGAATACAAGCACCAAGACAAGGCCTACCTGCAGGACTGACCTCACCTATGACCCACAAGTGCCTGAAGCGTGTTGTGGGAACAAGTTCCAGGGAGGCCAAGGATGTAGCCTGGTGGTAGAGTGATTGCCTATCATGTTATGAGACACTGGGATCAAAGCCCAGCATTACGAAAGGGAAAATTAAAAAGAGAAGTTCCCACAAGATGGGATCTATATATCTTCTCATGGAATCAGCGGCATCTATACCAGTAGGAGCCATTAAAACTCATACAGAGCAGTTAAGATGGATGATCTTGGGTGCCACTGTTACTACTTAAGGGAGGCAACAGAGGGGCTAAGGGCAACACCGATACCCTCACATTTATACGCCTTCTCCCCATGGTGAACACTCGCATGTTTGCTTAAGCGTGAGGAAACAGCAAACGCTTTCCCACATTCCTTACAGATGTAAGGTTTCTCTCCAGTATGCGTTCGCATGTGAATGTTAAGGGATGTGGAATACACAAACGCCTTCCCACAGATATTGCACACAAAGGGCTTTTCTCCACTGTGGATTTTCATATGTTTAGTACGGTGGGAGGCAGTGATAAAGGTTTTCCCACAATGGACACATTCAAAAGGCTTACCATGGTGAACTCGCATGTTTGCTTAAGCGTGAGGAAACAGCAAACGCTTTCCCACATTCCTTACAGATGTAAGGTTTCTCTCCAGTATGCGTTCGCATGTGAATGTTAAGGGATGTGGAATACACAAACGCCTTCCCACAGATATTGCACACAAAGGGCTTTTCTCCACTGTGGATTTTCATATGTTTAGTACGGTGGGAGGCAGTGATAAAGGTTTTCCCACAATGGACACATTCAAAAGGCTTCTCCCCCGTGTGTGTTCTCACATGGTGAATAAGGCCTGAGGTCCTAGTGAAGGCTTTCCCACACTGGTTACACTGAAAGGGCTTCTCTCCACTGTGGATGCGTACGTGGGTGGCGAGGCCCGAGTACTGAGTGAAGGCTTTCCCACAGTCCTTACATTCGTAGGGTTTGACTCCAGTGTGTGTCCTGACATGTTCATTAAGCTGAGTGGACCTGGAGAAGGCTTTGCCACACTCCTTACACACAAAGGGCTTCTCTCCACTGTGAACTCCTCGTAAGTGTTCAGTCAGGCCCGACCACCTCAGGAAGGCTTTCCCACATTCCACACATTTGTACGATTTTATTCCACTGTGAATTTTCCTGTGATCGTTAAGGTATGTGTTGTTTGTAAAGCACTTTCCACACTCTTTACACTGGAAGGGTTTTTCTCCAGTATGAACTTCCATATGTGCAGAAAGTTGAGTGAAAGTAGCAAAGCACTTCCCACACTCCTTACATTTTTGGGATTTCTCTCCGGAAGCAATTGTTACATATTGACTTAGGTGTGAGGAAAAGGCAAATGCTCTCCAGCATTCCTCACATTCACAGAGTGTTGCTTCGGTGTGGGTTTCCATGGGATTAGTAAGGCATGGAAAATACTGAAAGCCCTTTTCATATTCCTCCAATTCGCAAGGTTTTCCTCCATTGAACATTTGAAGATCCATAGCGAGGCTACACCTCCAGCCCTAGGAAAATATGAATTTTAAAAACTTTACAATCCAATCCACTTTGGGGCTCACCAACATTTTTCACAATATTAACAGGGATTGATAACACTTGTCAGCTGGGTTGTGAAGATGTTAAAGATGCGGTTAGATTGATTTAGTCCCTGGAGGTAAACAGTCATAAAGGTGACAACTAGGAAGAGCTTTATTAGGCATGTGACGAGGGTTTGGAACACAGCCCATAATGAGGCATCGACATCCAGGAAAACAAATTAGACAGCTCAGAATTTAAGGCACACTTCTGAATGATACTGATTATGGTTCGTTTGTTTGTTTGTTTTACACAAGGTCTCACTTTGTAGTTCAGCCTGGTCTTGAACTCACTATATAGCTCGGGCTGGCCTTGAACTCACAGCGATCCTCCTGCCTCAGGCTCCCGAGTGCTGGGATTACAGCTGTGCATCGTCAAGCCCAGCTACTACTGAATAGTGTTTTGTTTTGTTTCGTTTTTTTGTGGTACCAGGAATCAAACTCAGGACCTTGCACTTTCCAGGCAGGCACAGTGCCAGTGAGCCAAATCCCCGGCAGTTATGTTGTGACTTATCTTTACCTTTGGTTTCGTCTTCAAAGAATGCTGACAGCAGTCTTTAGTCAAGAGCACATTTGTTATCCATTTCATTTGGAGTAGAGACTCACAGGCTTGCTGTATAATAGCTCATATCTCCTGCAAACATTAGCAAGACCCTAAAAGGCCACTGAAAGGTTTATCTATCTGCATGGTAGATAAAATTATTTTGACAAAGGCTACTAAACTGGTGCCAATGCTGGCAGCACCAATATCCATGCCACATCCTACTGGCATGAATTAAGTACAGTAGTAACTACTATCTGAAAAAAGAACTAGAGAGGCCTGGGAGGCCACAGCTTAGTGGTAGAGCGCTTCCCCTGGGGTCCCATCAACAGGACCACAAAAAGAAAATTAACTATAGCACAATAAATAATTTGAGAGAAATTATATTTATAAAACTTTTATTAGAGTGTATTGATTGTTAAATTTCATTAGTTATTGCTGTGAATGCCTACTGTGCCCTATTTATAAATGTATCACAGATATGTATACATAGAAAAAAAACAGTACTCGCGGAGTTCTGCACTGTCAGCCGCTTGACCATCCACTGGGAACCTTAGAAAGTATCCCTGTGGAGGAGGGATGGACTACTGCATTGTCCATTTTTCCCACAGACCTTTAGATGCAGGGAAGTACCCAATGAAAGGACCATGGGAATGCCCATGACCTGTGCATATTAAGGCATGGCTTCATTAAGGAAAACATGAGCAAAGGCAGCAAAGAAATATATGTTAAGGTCCAGTACTGGTGATTGGGGTTCCCAATTGAACCTAAGGGTGCCATTAATAAAGGGAAAATGTACTTTCAAAATATGGTACTGCTGAGGATGTAGCTCAGTGGCAGAGCTCTTGACTAACAGAATGTGGTACTGTGTTGAAATAAGGGGAAACTGGCTGTAGGGGACATGGTCTGACATGCTAGGATGTGGAGAAATGCTTGAGGGGTATAAGGCTTCAGGTAGTGGGTGGTCTTCTGAGGAAGTTAAAGAGTTGAGTAACAGGTAAATACTTCTTGGAGAAAGGCTTCATTTTCAGGGCCTTTAGTAATGTATACCAGACTTCTCAAGATATGGAAGTGTAGGGATATATATTTTAGCAGAGAATAAAGAACATACCTGAGTCATGTGCTAAGCTGTGAGCTTGGGGAAAATAGCAAAACACATATAATCCCAGCAACTCAGAAAACTGGGGCAGTAGGATCACAAATTTAAAGCCAACTTGGACTAATTAGTAAGACCCCATCTCAAGAGAAAAAATTAAAAGGGCTAAGATGTAGCTCAGAGGTAGGCCTCATTCCCAGAACTACACACACAAAAAGGGTCAGGGATGCAGCTCAGTGGCACAGAGGCCCTGACTCCAAACATGAGTACCCACTCTACCTAAACACACACAAAAGAGAAGGGGCTCATGATGTAGTTCAGTAGAAAATTGTTTTCCTAATGAGTATAATGTACCAGTTTCATACCTCACACTGCAAGAAAAAAGAAAAAGTATGTTGTGTGTGCAAACTGTGCCTTCTAAGAGGCAGTCTGTGGGCACTGCAAGGGTGTATGTTTCGGTTAAAGGGCAGCAGTTGTCTTCGACAAAAGAGATCTCTAACTGTGGGTCTTCAGTCGGGATAGCATCACATCCAGCCATTAGATACTGTGCAAGATGAATCTCGTGTGGAACAGAGGACTGGTTTAACCTTTCCGAGCAGATCCCCACTAACACTGAGGTGGGTCCCCAGATTACAAATGTATGAAAATCACAGTGCAGTATTGGTAAGACGAACACTCAACCAAGCGTGCAACTAGCTGTCCATGACAGGAATTGGTTTTGGTGGAAGGTTAGGTTCCAATGGGTCTTTAACCAGATGAATACCTTCCCGGGCTGTGGAGTAATCTATGGCTTTAAATGTACCAAAAAGGGGCTGAAGGTTTAGCGCAGTGGCACCACGCCTGCCTTGCAAACACAAGGTCCTGAGTTCTACCCCAGTACCAAACAAACAAACAAAAAAGTACCAAAGAAGGATGGGTCTTCTCTGACCTCATTCCCTTCTGTAGAGTGGTTAAGATGGAAAATTTGCAGAAACAGGTTAAGGAGCCAGGCATGGTTGTACATGCTTGTAATCCTAGCACTCGGGGAAGCTGAAGCAACAGTGAGTCAAACGGACCCTGGGCAACTTAGTAGTGACTTACAAAAAGTCTGGTGATACAGCTCAGTGTGAAGCATCATTAAAAACAAAAATAAACAGTACTGGGAGAAGATAACGTATTTAGGGGTATATGTGTTGCAGTAGAAACTGAAAAGTTATTTGAGATGATTATGATTTTCAGTTTCTGGGACCTATCAAACACTGAAAGGTCTACTGAATGCCTCTTCCAAGGGCCCTATATTGTATAAAATTTGGGAAGGTGAAAAAGCACATCTGAGTTACTACAAGAAATGTGTGAATTATAAACAGCAAAGGGAGTATTCTTTTAGGGCCTGTATGTCGTGGCTATAGTTTGTGTAGGGACATTCGCAGTTTTTATTTTTCTTTTAACTCCCCCCACCCGCAGCACTGGGCATTTCACTAGGAGCCTCTCATATGCTGGGCAAACTCTACCACTGAGCTACAGTCTCACCTTGCATATGCAATTCTGATTCCTAGTTTGTGTGACCCAAGAAATCACACAGGTCTGGATTGATTTTGCTTTTTTTTTTTTAACTTGAAGAAGAAAATCCTTCGCCATTGCTCACTAGTTCATATTACATGCAAAAATGGGACAACTAGCTGTCCACAGCATCCAGTGTTAAAGATGTCCATCTGTCTCAAGTTTGGCCAAGTGTGCTGTTTCCTGCATCCTGCCCTTTATTAGGTACATCCTGACTAAGAAAAGAAAAGCAGCAACATGACAGAGCTCCATCACCTGTACGACAGTTAGTGGTGATGTCTGATAGTCCACAAACCCCCACTGTCTTTCACACAGTCAGCCCCACGAAGCTCTTTAGATACCCACTGGGTCTTGGAGAGGGGTGACCTCCTCACATACCCTGATCTGTCAAAAGACAAGAGAGGGTAGACTACATCAGAGGGCCCGGATTTGGTTCCATGATGTGTCAGGACTGCCTTGGTACCACGTCAAGCTTGTGGGGCATCCTTGATCCAAAGTTAAAGTGAATAGCTGGGTATGGAAGGTCTCAGGCTCAGCATCCGGCAAAGCATATTTCCTACACAGCCCACTAGGTGGCCTGCTAACTGTTCTTTTAATGATGTATAACAGACAGAAGGCTGAGAGGAGCAATTTCTTTCCCCTGTGATAGTGGAGACTGAACCCAGGGATTGAACCTTTGCACTGGTGTACACCTTCAACCCTTTTTTCATTTTGAGATAAGGCTGCCCTCAACTGGTAAGTTAGAGAGGCTGGCTCCTGCCTCAGCAACCCAAACTGCTAGAGTTACAGGTATACATCATCATGTCCAGCACAGAGGCAATTTTTTTTATCAGACGCCTGGGGTAAATCAGGACCATTGTGAGAGATCCACCGACTTCAGGAGGCATAAGAAAAGGTTACCAAAGCCTCTACAGTGAAGAAGCTGTATCTGAAGACACTAACAGGTGTGGCTACCCATTTTTACTGTAAGTAATATTTGTAAATTAAAGATGTGCTCCTATCAGAACCAAAGTACTAAAAGATGTTAAACTTATGTATCAGTAATAAGTATGCCAGAAAAATGCTATGGAAGAGGATGTTATCAAGATCACATCATACCTGTGGTCCTGGAGAAAAATGAATACAGTTAAGATGCTCTCTGTATAGACTGTGTGATGGAAAGTTGCTGAGGCACCCCACAGGCACCCTGGGAAAATGTAGTGTGTCCCTTCTGAGGTGGAGGCACACAGCACCTGAGAGGCTGTTGAAACAGGCACAGAAAGGAACATGTTAGCCAATATATAACAGCACAATATTTACCAGTTGTTGACTGAACAGAATCACAAACTTTCATAATACAAAATACTGGGCATGAAGGTCTTCATTGTCAGAATTACAGCTTTAAAGTTGTAGTAATCCACTAAAAGATCTATCAATTCATCAGATCTATCTAGTATTATCATATTTAACAGAGTCAACATTGGGAGGAGTGAGGATAATCACACTTTGTTACCTTTTAGAAATCCAATTTTAATCCCTGAAGGCCCTAATTTAATTTGTATTGAGCCATATTTACTATTTTAATGAGAATACATGGGATTTCCTGTGTCAAATCAATAATAAAAAACAAACTTTAAGCTGGGGATTTAGCTCAGTGGTTCTGGCGCCTGCCTCGCAAATGCAAGGACTCAAGTTAGATCCCCGGTACGAACAAAAAACAAAAACAAAAACCAAACTTTAATGTTAATTTACTATCTACTATATCAAACTATCTACATTCAATATGTAATATTTTAGGACAATGGGTTTTGTGGCGATGGGAAATTTATAGACAATTGAACATTTATAAGAGGCATATTCAGCTGGGTGTGGTGGTACACATTTATAATCCCAGCACTAGGCAGGCTGAGGCAGGAAGATCTCCAGAATTTCAAGTCCAGCCTGGAGGATTTGGTGAGTTCAAGACCGGCCTGAACTACAGAGTAAGACCATGTCTCAAAAGATAGATAAATAAATAAATAAATAAATAAATGGCATATTCAATTTCACTCATTTCATTAGTGACTGTTTTAAGACTATAGAAGACAATGTTTAAATTTAGTGAGATATCTAGGTATAATTTAAGTTGCTACAGAAGTCCATAAATTTTTGTCCAACTGGTACCTTTAGCAATTAAGGTTGCTGGGTTCTATGTCATACTGGCAAAAAAATAAAAGCCAGAGTCCTTTTAATGTTTTGTTATATAAACAGTAAATATAAATTTGGGATTTTGAAATAATTAAATTATAGGGCCAGGGATGTAGCTCAGGGGCGCTACCTGGCAAACACAAGGTCCAGAGTTTGATCGCCGGTACCCAAAAAGGAAAAAAAAATCAAATTATAAAACTTTTGTTATTTGTTTAAGCATACTGAACACTTATTACATATTTATTACTTGTATTAAAAATATTTATATTGAAATATAGACGTACATAGAGAAACTATTTTGTTAAACTTCATTTCATCCTCTGGAATATGGAAGTTTATACAACAGTAACTCATCTGTGCGCATGACCCAGCATTTCCTCAGTATATATAGTTTAGACTTCCTTTATTTTATCCCTTGGTATTGAGGCACAGGTTCCTTCCTCCTTTTCCTTTTTGTTTGACACTTTTAGACACCTGAATCTTTGGCCTGTACTACCTGTCCCTAATAAGAAAAGACGCAGGTTTGAGAGGCTGAGGCAAGAGAATCAAAGTCTGAAACCAACCTCAAGTATACAACACAACCCTATCTCAAAAAATTAAAGAGAAAGCAGTGAAGTTCAATGACAGACGTGTACAGCCTGTCCAAGGCCTTGAATTCCATACCCAGAAGCCCATCCCAGAGCCCTCCAAAGCAGGACAGAGAAGGGGTCGGGTGACTCAAGGCAACCACTCCTTGTCATGGTCCCTTGTCTTTAGGGTAGCTACTCACTACTCTATCTGTTTAAATTATCCTACTACAATCATTTTAAATGGTTTCCACGTCTAGGCAAATGTATTTTTCCTCTCTATGAATAACTGACTAATAAGCTCCTGATTATCCAGAACACTCTTCTGCTCTAGAGTTCAAGCAACCTCGGGGGCTGGGGCCCACATCCCATACAGCAGCAGTATTCTGGACGTATATTTTTGCTGCTACTTACGCTTCTGTGGACAACATCATCCAATGACTCAGAAAACGCTTCATCTGCATTTACGGCAATCACAGCTCCGACTCTAATCAAGGAAACCCTTTCACTGCAGTCACCTCAACCAGAGCAGGTCCCTGCAACCAGCTGGTCTGATCAGACATCTGTCACGCACGAGCAGCAAAGCCTCATGCAGTCATAGCTGGGGATTTTCAGAGGCGGCAGGATCTAGGGGGTGATGGGGTTTTGGGACTGAGGATGTGATGCTGGGATTAAGGGTGCTCCACGCTGGATTTAAGTGCTACGAGCCCTAAGGCAGCTTGGACGGAATGGAAGGGACAGAAAAGAGGATTGTTGCTGCGGCTTGCTGCTTTGCTGTGCACTATTTTTCCCCTGCGATGCCCCTCTGCCGTGCCACTTGCCTTGGAACCAGCCAACTATAGTCTGAAACCTCTACAAACCATGAGCTAAATAAAGCTTAATTTTGGGAGTTGGGTATCTTGTCTCAGCAATGAGAAAAGTAACTAAGACACTACCTAAACATTTTGGGGCCCTAGTACCATTAAATTAAGAGGGGATAAGAGGAGTTCATCTACTGGCAGGGTTGACAGATCCCGACTACCAAAGGGAAATTGGGGTACTACTATGTAACAGAGGCAAGGAGGACCGAGTACAGGAGCCACCCGTTACATCCCCTGTATGGCAAAGATGAGCACAAAATTACAACTGAAACAGGGCAAGACAATGAAGGACTTAGAATGAAGGAATGAGAAATGAAGCTTTGAGTCACTCAGTCAGGTAGAGAACCCAGAGCAGCTAACAGCGAGGCTGAGGTTAAAGGAATTATGAAACTGGTCACATATGAAGTGAACTTTGCATACAAACCACACCCTCAAAGTATATTAGAGAAACAAAGACTGTGGTAACAGCGCCTGTTTCTTCACTTGGAACATTAGATGCATTATACAAGTGTTTATATAAACTATTCATTCGCTTCTGTCACCTTCCCGTTTCCACTTCACATACAACTTTGGGATCAATTTAAATTCAGTCTGCAGCTAACAGGATATATT